TTTTAATAGTGTATTGGTTGATTTTAGTTGATTTGAACTTTTTAAAATTAATTTTCAATATAGTTTTGTTTAATTTTTAACGCATAATAAATTTGAATAAAATTAATTTGTTTAACTGAACAAAGCATCAAATGATTTATGAAGCTTAATCTTTGTAACAGTATTTGATTTGAAAAATTAAAATAAAAACAAACGTACTCCTTTAGCCTGAAAAGTATGATAAATGATAATGTATAAAACAAATAAAATAACATTAATGTTCAAAACACGCAAAATATTTTTGAAAAATGTGAATGGGTCTTCAGGTTCGTAACGTAATACAATTGTTTTTATTCCTGCATCAACTCAAACATAACGCTTACGTTTTTTTTTTGTTTTTTTTTTTTTGCTGGTAGGTGCATGGTTATGATCACACCTCTCCATTACTATGTGATCATCTATTGTTTGAACTCTAGCTCGACATGTTTTTACTTCACATTTCCTAATCTCTTTGCCTGCTACACCCCTTATGGCTTTAATAAACATACATTCACCAGAAACTAATATCCTAAAACCTTTCTGCTAGGTAACTTATGAGGCCATAGCTGAGTAAGCACTACGAATACTGCTTTGTTTTCATGCACAGTAACACAAACTTAGCTCCGCGATGACCGCTGTTTGTTTAAAATAAGCTTGTGTCACCTGATCACTAAGGTGTGACCGACGCATAACAATAAACTTTAGATGTTAGTTGTATTGTCCATGGTGGGCGGTTGTCTTTTCCTAAAGGCGTGTCTATGCTATCAAAGTGGGCGGCCACCTTGATACGAAGGTGTGTCTTTATTGTTATTTCATTCTTTTTGATCTAGCTTCGTCCACCTGACGTGGTAGGTTTGTTTCATGTTTGTCAAGCTCACCTACGCTATTAATCGAGGAATTCTTTAATCCTAGCATACTATATTAGAAATCTTAATTTTAAAATGTTTAGTACAATATGACAAATTAATAAGGTAAACATTTCTCACCATTGTTATATAGGCCTATAAACAATATTAAACATAGTAAAAAAAACCATATGACATTCAATGAAAAAATTTTCAGATCAACTAAATCCAATACACTATTAAAATTTTGCTGTGAGATATTTTGTCTGAGATATTTTTTCTGAGATCAATTGTTTATGGTATCATTTGTCCTGATATATTTTGTCCTGGTATCTTCTGCCCGTGAGATCATTTGTCCTTGAGATCATTTGTCCTGAGATCATTTGTCCGTGAGATATTTTGTCTGAGATATTTTGTCTGAGATCATTTGTCCTGAGAACATTTGTCCTGTCACCAATTATATATATATATATATATATATATATATGTATATGTATATATATATATATATATATATATATATATATATATATATATATATATATATATATATATATATTAAAACATCTTTAAAAACAATTAGATTTGATTAAAACTAGCCCAAGATATTAAAAAAGGTATGAAAATAAATGTTAAGTAAAATAAATAGTAACAAAATATGTAATCATGCAGAATTTTAAATCATAAATTTATGAACAATTACTGAATTCTTTGCCAGAAAAAATGAAGGATATATATCACAACAAACATCCATCCGGTCCCTTTGACCCAATTGACTAGGACGAGCCAGAGAGAAGGATTGGGCTGAATTAGCGTGGTCAGCAGTAACCAAAAGAGAGAGTATAGCCCTGTGGAGTACAACAGTCATCAATTAACCATCCTTCTAAACTAAAACATAGGCTGCCGCTTGACCTACTTTTGGCCGTCGTCATGGTAATGATGGCCGCCGATAACGATGATAACTGGTTTTCGTTTTTTAACAATGGGTGTTCATGGTCATTTCAACAACACATAAGCCCACTTGTAACAAAGGCTCATGGTCATTTCAACAAAACATAGGACCACTTGTAGCAATGGTTCATGGTCATTTCAACAACACATAGGCCCTTTGTAACAATGGTTCATGGTCATTTCGACAACACATAGGCCCTTTTGTAACAATGGTTCATGGTCATTTCGACAACACATAGGCCCTTTGTAACAATAGTTCATGGTCATTTCAACAACACATAGGCCCTTTGTAACAATGGTTTATGGTCATTTCAAAAATACATAGGCCCTTTGTAACAATAGTTCATTGTCATTTCAACAACAAATAGGCACATTGTGCGTTCGATTTCTTTATTGTGTTAGACTGTATCTCATTTCGGGCCTGATCGAGTTTTGAAAATCTTTGTATCTTATTCACACGTTTTCTTTAAGTTGCTTTGGCGTCTGTTTGTTTGTTTAGTTCTCCAATCAAATCTTGCGATCGAAATTTCGGGCTCTTCCCAGTTAGCTAGCGCGCTGAAATTTTCAGGGAAGCTTTTTTTTGGATGACATTAGAATATTCAATTGTTATTATTACTAAATTGATCCATGGAAACGTTTTATTGAGCATTTTAGGCCGCTATATAATCTATCTATATATATAATTCTCTTCTGGGATCAGTTAGAAAACAAGCTGCAAGCGCCTCCTTGCAGTCCCCTCTCTTTCTCTCTATCACTATCACTATCACTACCACTCCCACCCCACCCCCACATTGTCTGGTG